GGCTTTACACTCAGGAATTACTCCTGGCGGTGCTCAGGAGATCATATGGGATGCTGGGGATCGAACCCCTATTGTCTATAGCAAGGCAAATGGTATACCCGCTGTACTATCGCTCTGGCCTCAGTTTTTCATCTTTAAGCATAATATTTGCTGTGGGCTTTTTGTATTTGACTAACAGTATATGAGTTTCTTTCTAGATATGTTTCTTGAATGTGCTTTTCATGAAAGGGTGTTGAGTTTTGCCAGTGCATTTCTGTTTGGAGATGAGCATGTGGTTTTCTTCTTTCATTCCATTAATACAATGTCGCACAAACTGTGATATCCAAGAAATACATATTTTGGTTTATCAGATCACACACATGTATGTATGTGTATATGTATTTATGTTTTGAGCCCCACTCAATAATACTCAGGGATTGCTCCTGGCTTGGTGCTCAGTAATTACTCCTGGTGAGAACCATAAGGGATGCTGGGGATCAAACCCTGGTTGGCCATGTGCAAGGCAAGCACCACCCTACCCATTTACTCATTGTACAATCACTCTAGTCCTAACACATATATTTAATATATATTTGTTATTCATCCACAGTTCCTGGCTCACAGCTCCCCAGATCCTTGTAATTTCCTTAGTGTTGCCTGTGACTACGTTAATGAACGTAACTTTGGGAGAAAAGTGTGAGAATAGGATCTGGTTACCAGTCAAACCAAAGTGACCAGGAAGGGATTTCCTGGGAGGGAAGAGGGGCTTGAGATTGAGTTCAACAGCCAATAGCTAATGAGCTGATCAATCGTGCCTGTGTGACGAAGACTCCATAAAAAGCCTATAGGTAAACTTCGGGTAGCTTCCAGATGGGTGAACACCTGGGAGACCTAGGGAGCTGGGTGTGATTGGAAGGTCATGGAAGCACTGCTCCTTTCCCCCATAGTGAATTCATCTCTTCTGCCTGGCGCTTCCTGAGTTATATCTTTTGGAATAAATTAGGGATCCAGTAAGTAAGGAAACAGGTTTTCTGAGTTCTTGGAGACTTTTTAGCAAATTAATTGAACCTGAGGATGGGATTTTGGGGAACCCCTGATTTATACCCAGTTGGTCAGAGGCACAGGTGCTGGGGATTGAACACTCGTCAGTCACCTGCACAGCAATCACCTTCCCCACCTGTACTCTCTCTGGCCCTGTGGCTTTTAAAAAACTTTTATTTTTCAGAAAAATTGAGATGACTTTGATCTATGATTTATGAGTGTATAAATATCCACAGACACTTATACAAGAAGTGGTGTTACCATATGCCACGGATCCTGCACCACCCCTACCCCGAAGTTTTACCCTCTATCTTAGTGTATTTTTGACCCTTTCAACCCTTTCCTACCCTCCTTGCTAATCTCAGTTCTGTGGCCATAGTTTAACGGTTTGTTTCTGTTGCTCATTGTCTCTTCCCTTTCTTTATCACTTACGAGTGAGATCATACAATAGTTGGCTTTTTCCTTTTGACTTTCTCTGCTACATGACCCCTTTTAGTTTTATCTATTTTTTCAGAAAAGGCAAGCTCGCTCCCTCCCTCCCTCCCTCCCTCCCTCCCTTCCTTCCTTCCTTCCTCCCTCCCTCCCTCCCTTCCTTCCTGAAGTTCGCAGGGGTCCCCAGGGACAGCTTCCAGTAATACTTAGGGAGTTGATCCGGATGGTTCCATGGGAGGGTCAGGGAATGTGTCTCTGCTGGGGTGGGGGTGGGAGGGTCACTCCTGGTGCTACTCAGAGGACTATGTGGTGCTGGGAATGATGCCTGGCCTCCTGCATGCAAAGCTTATACTCTTCCCTTTGAACTCTCTTTGGGTTAAGAGGCTTTTTACTTGTATAAGTAGAATATTCCACAACTGAATTTGGGAAAAGTCCTTGTGTTGGAGGTGGTAAGGTCAGAGATTTAAGAGCCTCTTCCAGATGTCCAGTTCCATTCTTTGTCCTCTTTTTAATACCTAAAGGAAAGGGTCTAGGGATCATCTAGATTTGTATGTAAGTAAAATTTTGTGTGAGGGTGCATTTTTGTCAAGTAGGGATCCACTGGCAGCTGGAGCAATAGCACGGTAGGTTGTGTGCTTGCCCTGCATGCGATTAACCCTAATTTGATTCCCAGCATCCCATATGGTCCCGAGTTTCCCAGCATCCCATATGGTCCCCCTAATTTCTGCACTCAGAAATTACTACCTCCGCCCCTCTCGGAGAGCCTGGCAAGCTACCGAGAGTATCTCGCCCGCACGGCAGAGCCAGGAATAACCCCTGAGCATCACTGGGTGTAACCCAACCTTCCCAAAAGACTTTTATTCGATGTCTGACTGTGTCTTGGGCCTTTGAAAGTTTAAAAAATCATTGTTTAGGTACTTAACTCATTTTTCTTATTCCCTGGTGATTTAATAAAGTGGAGGGGGCAAGGGAGTGAGAACTAGTCATATATTTTAAAATTTTTTGGACAACTGTCAAAATTTCCTTGACATTATCACCTATATATAAATGGTACAAAGATTTATGTAACAGTACTTATCCTGATAAAGTATGGAGCACACTGAACATTTTCTATGTAATTAAGACGTTGTTAGTTAAGCGAAGGCAGGAATAGAATTGGGGAGATACAGTGGGATCATGGTGGAGGGATATGGACATGCTGGGGGAGGGCGTGGTGCCAGATCTGTTATATCTGTATGATGACTGAGATAAGTTTTTATTTTTTCGTGGGGAGGCCAGGGAGCACACCCAGTGGTTTTCAGGGCTTACTCCTGGCAGGGCTTAGAGGGGAGACCGTATGGGGTGCCAGGGATTTGACCCAGATTGACTATGTTGCAAGGCAAGTGCCCTACTGCTGTACTTTTTCATTCTGACCCAACTCTAGTAAATTTATTTTGAATTTTTTCTTTCTTTTAACATCTTCTTAAATACTGAAAAATGTATTTTGAAATTTTATTTGTAGTGGCTGGAGCGATAGCGCAGCGGTAGGGCGTTTGCCTTGCACGCAGCCAACATGGCCGACCCGAGTTCGATTCCTCCGCCCCTCTCGGAGAGCCTGGCAAGCTACCGAGAGTATCTCGCCCGCACGGCAGAGCCTGGCAAGCTCACTGTGACGTATTCGATATGCCAAACACAGTAACAACAAAGTCTCCAATGGAGACGTTACTGGGCCCACTCGAGCAAATCGATGATCAACGGGAGGGCCTTTACCTTTACCTTATTTGTAGTGGAAGAAAAGAAAATATTAAACTGCCTTAAAAATAGTTGTAGCTCTCTAATTTTCTAGTTTTCTGATTGACGACCCATCATTTAAAAAAGTTATCTGTGCATCAGTTTATCAAACCCTTTTTTTATTATTCACAGCAGTCTGATAGGATGTAGCTGATCTTTACATTTTTATAAACAAAATTTTGGAGCTATTAAGTGGATTCTCGTGTGTACTACTGATATTTAGTAAAGTCAGTGTTAAGTCTGACTTCTAGGTTTGATTCGCGCTCCATTACACCATCCTACATCCTTTCATCCTCTGGCTTCTCATTTTACTTTGTTCTCTGCCACAAATTTGGGAATAATATAAGCCCAGATTACACAACTGGGTAAATTCTAACTTCAGGTCACATATGGAATCCATACTGTCCTTAATTGTCGTTCAGTATTTATTCTTACAAGTTTTGGATTTTCCTATTTTTGTAATAGATTCTTTCTGTTTTCTTCTCTACTCTGCACCAGTGGAATTTTGTTTTTGTTATCCCTAAAAGACCGGTAGTTTCTAAAAGTTTGTTGGGGGGCCATATCTGGTGGCGCCCAGGACTTATTCTTGGTGCTGTGCTCAGGAATCATTCCTGGCAGGGTTCAGGGGACCATCGTGGGGTGCTGGGTATTGAACCTGGGTCTTTCATGTGCAAGGCAAATATTCTACTTGCTGTACTATTGCTTCAGCCCAAGATCGGTAGCTTTTTGTTTGCTTATTTGATTTTTGAGTCATACCCAGTGGTGCTCAGGATTTACTCCTGACTTAGCGCTTAGAGATCATTCCTGTCAGTGCTCACAGGACCATAGGGATGCCAGAGATTGAACCCAGGTTAGCTGTGTGCAAAACAAGCACCCTTTCTGATATACTGTCACTCTGGCCCTAAATCAGTAGGTTTTAAGCCTAAATATGTTTTTGTTTTTTTGACTACACTTGGCTGTGCTCAGGGCTTATTCCTGGCTCTACACTTTGGAGTTAATCCTGACTGTCTGTATTGGGTGCTGGGGATTGAACCCGGGTTGGCTGAATGCAAGTGCCTTACCCACTGTACTATTACTGCTCTGTCCTCTTAAGCCAATAATTGTATCATTATCTGACAGCTGGAGAACTTAATATTTGGATTTCTGGGATTTTAGCAGTGATTCTGATTCAGTAAATCTGGATTGAGTTTAGAATTGACGTGGGCTTAAAATTGACCACACATGTTTCTTACATAGTCAAAGTTGAGAATTTCTACCCTGGATACATTTAAATTGTTCCGCTTAGAAGGCTGTGCAGGATTTGGAAAGTGATTAGGAGACATGATGACCCCTTAGAAGTTTTGGATTTTATATAGTGGGAGGGGTATCTTCTCCTTAGTGCCCTTTCTTTTGGAGTAGTTATTGCCATGTAGAAACATCATTAGACCCTAGATTGATTTGTAGTGAATCCAGTGTTCTCTTCCCACTACTACCTATTTTGATGAAACATCGTAAATCATAGGTTGGGATAAGTTCATTGAGGTGTACAATTGAATAAGATACCATGATGAAATGGTAAGCTTCGATTATTGTTTATTTACTTTTATAAAAAAGTGAATGTGAAATGCTTTTGATTTACAGATTTTAATGGATAGTTAGATCACTATATTTCAAGACTAATAGATTTTATCAGAAAAACACTTTGAGGATTGTTAGTTTTATACTGTGCTTAATAAGCAGGAATTGATTAAAATGAGGGTTTCTAAAAATATTTCAAATCTCTTTTTTTCTCTCTTTAGTTCTTTTTGGAGGTGGATATCTGCTCAGACAATAAGAATTTTAAGAGGTTAGTTGCAAATAATGCTGTGCTATTGATGGTTTTTTTTTGGGAGGGTGGTTGGAGGTTGGGGGTGGTTGCTAGGATTGACCCTCGAGCCTTGTGCATATACTACTGAGCCTTATCTCTGACTCTTCAAATAATGCTTCTTAATACTGTAATAACATTTTTAAGTTTTTATGTTCATTTTCTAAAATAGTTAACTGTAACTTCTAAAAGTAGCCTTTCAGTGGGCCAGGGATATGGCTCATATGGTAGATAACATGCAGGGTCCTGGTTTCGATCCCTTTTTTGTGTGTGTTTCCCTCTCTCCTGCTCCCCAAGCTCCCCACCCAGCATCTCTAGGTGTAGCCAAAAAAGAAAAGGTGCCTCCCACAGAAGATATAGGAGATTGCAGAGTAGGGAACATGTAGTGAATAGGACCACAGTTCACCACATTTTCTCTCTAATTCAGAACTAGTGTCAGTGGAAATGGGACAGGCTATGGAGCAGCCTCTAGTGTGTCTTGATAGCTGTTCAGTGATTTTTCATACCCGACCTCTCTTTTCTGATGGTTGTAGGCTGGTGCCTGGCAATACCATTTAGTAAAGCTATTGATTGCTAGACAGGATCTTTAGTCATTGACACTGAACTGTTTCTAGTCTTTGTAAGTCTTTAGGGGAAGGCTGCTTTCAAGTTTTTGGCTGGGAAAGATTCATTTGAAGTTGCTGTTTTAAAGCCTTTAAAGCTCAGGGATGTTTTGTTAATCCTTTCTTCTTCCATGGAATCAAAACTATGGAGTGGTTTCGTGTGGTCATCTAATTTCAGATAGATTGTAAGCTAGAACCTCCTCCCGAGTGTCTTCCTTTACATCTCTTGAAAAAGGTAGCCATTGTTTTCTATAAGTTGAGATCAGATTTGTTTTGAATCTAATATATTTGTTTGGCGTTTTGGGGGCACTTCTGACAGTGCTCAGTGGACCATATGCTGTGATGGGGATTAAACCAGAATTGGCCACATGCAAGGCAAGTGCCTTAACTACTCTGGTCATTATTATTATTATTACTTGCTTTGGGGCAGCACCTTGCAATGCTCAAGGGTTACCTCCTGCTCCGTACTCAGGAATTACTCCTGCCTGTGTGCAGGGGGCCATATGGAATGCCAGAGATCAAACTTGGGTAGCCATTTACAAGACAAATGCCCTACCCTCTGAACTATCTCTCTGGCCCATGGCCCCGATATTTTTTTTTTTCTTTTTGGGTCACACCCGGCGATGCTCAGGGGTTACTCCTGGTTTATGCACTCAGGAATTACTCCTGGCGGTGCTCGGGGGACCATATGGGATGCTGGGAATTGAACTCGGGTCGGCCATGTTGGCTGCGTGCAAGGCAAACGCCCTTCCCACTGTGCTATTGCTCCAGCCCCCGGCCCCGATATTTTTAAACCTGATCAGTCACTGTTCTAAAGCATTGACGATGACTTTGACCACCTGACTTTGGGTTGTTCATCAGAGAGGCCAATCTGAAATTTTGGTGTTAGAATTTTTTTTTGACACTTTTCCTTTCCGTCCTTCCTAAATTCCTCTTTCTCCTCCATTTCCCCATATTCTCATTTTTTACTCTTGAACGGTTTTCTTTAAGTTGTTTTCTTTCTGAAAACGAACTCTTTACAGAATTGGCATATTTGGAATTCTTTTTTGAAAGTTTTTTTATTTTTGTTTGATTTTGGGCCATACTCACCTGTTCTCAGGGTTTACTCTTGGCAGATTTGGGGGACCATGTATGGTGTTGTGGATCAAACCTGGGTTGACCATGTGCAAGGCAAGGCAATTACTAACTGCAATTATTCTGGCCCAGAAAGCTTTTGTTTTTCTTTTTCAATAGATGCTAGCAATTGGGGCTGGATCATCAGCACAGCGGGTAGGGCATTTGCCTTGCACATGGCCGACCCAGGTTCGATACCTCCATCCCTTTCAGAGAGCCCTGAAAGCTACCGAGATTATCCCGCTCACATGGCAGACCTGGCAAGCTCCCCGTGACCGTATTAGATATGCCAAAAACAGTAACAAGTCTCACAATGAAGATGTTACTGGTGCCTGCTCAAGCAAATCGATGAACAGTGGGAGGACAGTGCTACAGTGCACAGTGCTAGCGATTGCGCCTAGAGCCTGATACATGTGAAGCATGCACTCTATGATTTAGCCACATCTGTGACCCCTTAAACTTTTTTTTTGCCTTTTGGGTCACACCCGGCGATGCACAGGGGTTACTCCTGGCTCTTGCACTCAGGAATCTCTCCTGGTGGTGCTCGGGGGACCATATGGAATGCTGGGAATCGAACCCGGGTCGACCACGTGAAAGGCAAACACTCTACCCGCTGTACTATTGCTCCAGCCCCAAACTTTTTTGTTGTTAAAAACAATTTTTTGTTTGTTTGTTGGCTGCACTAGTGGTGCTCAAGATTTACTCTTGGCAAGTGCCCTGCCTGCTATACTATTACTCCAGCCCCCTGATTCACACGTTTCTTAAGAATCTTTGTGCATGTATAACTTTTGTATGTTTAATGGTGGTTCCTATATATCTAAGAAACTTTTTAATATTTGGTTTGGACCACACCTGGCTGTGCATGAGGGACTCACTTCTGATGTTTGGGACAGAACTTGGGCAAGGTGTGTTTTTTAACTCTTTGAGCTATCTTTCCATCCCAAACCTTTTATTTTATTGTTGTGTAGTGATAAAGAATATTGATTTCATATGCAGTAACCCTGGGTTTGTAGTAAGGTTCCTGAAGCCATCACTGGATAGGCGCCCCTCCCCCACTACATTGCTTTCTGAAGGAAAAACAAAAAGGAAAAAAAAGTGCTGTTTATTTTTATATCATGATATTTTATAATATAAAAAATTACTCATTATTATGTTACCATACCTAGCACCTCAAAAATTAGGACTGGGAATTACTAGTTTCTTAGTTGTCAAGCTAACTGAGCTAATAAATTTTAGAGATTTTTAATAGGATTTTTAGAATGGCAGAATAATAATTTATTTAATATTGATTTTCTTTGTTGCTGTGGACTTTGAATTATATTTTGGTCTTTTAGTTTTCTAGTAATTGACAGTATCTTATCCTGACTAGTAAGGGGTGATATTGACCTGTGCTTAGGGGTTACTCCTGTCTCTGCTCAGGGATTACTTCTGGTGGGGATTGAGGTACTATTATGTGGTGGTGGGGATATGCAGGTCATCTGCATACAAGGCAAAGTAACTTACACGCTGTACTACCTTTCCTTCCCCAGGGACAGGTGTTTTCAATGTGAAAATACCTCTCTGAAATTTGCTTCAGAGATTTTGTACAGATTTATTTAAGGCTCATAGTATACACTTTCACAATACAGTGTTTGGAGGCAGAGGATAGTGCTGTTTACTCTAAATGCCAAAATAAACTACCAAGCCACCTGGACTGGAGAAATAGTGTATATATGGGTAGGGCATTTGCTCTTGCCTTCAGTTGACCCAGGTTCAATTCCCAGTAACACATATGGTTCCCTGAGCCCTGCACTGCCAATAAACCACCACCACCTTCCCTAAACTCTTACCCTATGTTTCCCACGTTGTACTGAATTGCAAAATTACAGTAAGCAACTTCAATCCACAACATAAATTTCTCTATTGTTCATAACTTGATATCACCAAATTGAGAGAATGGAAATCACGTAGCTTTTAAAGAGGGATTTCTTTGAGATGAAGGGAATATTTTTAAATTTACCTCCATGATCTAGATTTTTCTCTCTAACAAAAAACTAAGGTCCTGAAACAGAATAGCTGGAGAGATCTAATTCTCAAGTTCTTTCAAGTGTCTGCAGTGGTACGTATATGAGGTATATGTGATTGTCCTGTGACTGTCCACAGATATAAGTTATCATCCCAAACCTGCTTTTCTCACTTTGTCTTCTTTTTCTCTGTAGCTGTGAGAGCTCACTGTGAGAGAATAATGGATGAACCTTCCTCCTTGGCCAAATCTCTGGAGCTGAACCAGCATTCGCGATTTATAATTGGCTCCGTATCTGAGGATAACTCAGAGGATGAGATCAGCAGCTTGGTGAAGCTGGACCTGCTAGAGGAGAAGGAGGGCTCTCTGTCACCAGCATCCGTTGGCTCAGATACTCTCTCCGATTTAGGGATCTCTAGCCTACAGGATGGTTTGGCCTTACACATGAGGTAAGAGAGAGATGGTTTATGGTTTTTTTTTTTTTTTGTATACGTTAACCTGTCCTATTAAATTCAATGATTTTGTTATAAAAAGGGCAGTGAAAATTTTAGCTAAGTTGCTTCACCTCTTCCTATGTCACGGGACTTAAAAGTTTTGATGAGTGAGAAAAAAAAATATTTTGCCAGGAGTACAGATTTTGCAAGTGTCTTTTTGCAATATTGTGATTTCACTGTCACTGTCCTCCTGTTGTTCATCGATTTGCTCGAGCGGGCCCAGTAACATCTCCATTTTGAGACGTCTTGTTACTGTGTTTGGCATATTGAATACATCACGAGTAGCTTGCTAGGCTTTGCTGTGCGGGCGAGATACTCTCGGTAGCTTGCCAGGCTCTCTGAGGGGGGTGGAGGAATCGAACCCAGCTCAGCCGGGCTGGCTGCGCCAAGGCAAATGCCCTACCGCTGTGCTATTGCTCCAGCTCATTGTGATTTACAGGAAATAATTTTTTGGGGGTCACACCTGGCAATGCTCAGGGCTTACTCCTCGCTCTGCACTCAGGAATTACTCCCCTGGTGGTGCTTGGGGAACCATGTGGATGCCAGGTGATCGAATCCGGGTCTACCATATGCAAGGCAAACACCTTACCTGCTGTTTCTCCAGCCCTTCTCTAACATATTTAGCCTTTATCCACAGTTTCTGTTCACCAATTCCCAAAATTCCTGAAATTGCTTGTTGAGAGTGCTCAAGGTCGTGATATGTTAATGAGGTGACTTTGTGGAAAGCAAAAAAGTAGGGGGGTGGCTGCCAGGGGAACCAACTTATAATTTTTGTGTATGTGTGTAGAGTGAGAGTTTTTAAATGAATGAAGTTTATTTAGAAGGATGTGAGGGGAGAGAAAGATAGGAATCCATGTGCAGGAGAGAGCATGGGCTTTTCCAGAGTGAAAAAAGCAAGCAAGGAGAGTAACATGTTCAAGTGAGAACACAGGCTTGAGAGAGTAAGCCCCAACCCAGATGGTTTGTATTGTAACGTCTGGACCTGTTCCCCTGTGCCCAGTATGAGAGGAAAGCTGGAAACTGAGCTCAGTTGCCTGTGGCCAGTCATGCCTATGTCGTGAAGTCTCCATAAAAACCCAAGAGGAGGAGGCTTTGAAGAGCTGACACATGGAGATTTCACGTGTCTCTGTTCCCTCTACCTGCCCCCATGTATCTCCTCCATCTGGCTGTTCCTTTGTGCTAAATTAATTTAGTGAGCAAACAGGTTTTCTGAGTTTTGAGAGCAGCTTTGGCAAATAAATTGAACCCGAGGAAGATGTATTTACTTCTGATTTATAACCAGTGGGTCAGAAGCATGGAAAGCAATCTGAGTTAGACTGGGAACCTGAAGTCTGAGAAAGGGGATAACTGGGAACTGCCAGTCTGTAATGGTTTGGTCAGAAACACTGGTCACTGTCTCTGAAGTGGGGCACTTGGCAGAATGGGCCGTAAGCCCCTGGAGTTATCCCTGGTAGATTATGTCAGAATTGAGTTGAATTTTTGTGTTTGTGTGTAAAGATTGTCTGAGAAGTGCTTGTTGGTGTAGGGAGGCCTACCCACACCTAGTTGGAATTGGGTTGGGTAACACCAAATATACTTTTCCTGAATGTTCTTGTCATTTTTTCTGTTCTCCCTTTACTCTAGATCTTTGAGTGAGACTTGGTGAATGAGTTTTGGTTAAGGAATTTTAGTTTTTATTCTGTTTGGATTAATATAACACTCTTGGTGATTGATATGACTTCTGCAGAGGTTAGCAACTTTGTAGTAATCTTGTAGTGAACTGCCTTTTTATGTCAATAAGTTAATTCTGGAGTACATGATTTGTTTGAGGGAGCTCGGGGTTTGGGCCCTGACTTTGCACAGTCCTTGCCCCTGCTGGGAGTGGCCCTGAGCACCACATCAATAGTAGCCTAGGAGCTCTAATTAGGAGTAGCCCAAATAAAGTTATATTCTGAGTCTGGAAAGCCAAGTCCTCAAGCCAAGCCAGTAAATGGCTGCTAGGAATAAGGGGTCATTAATCAAGCTCTTATTTTCCTTCTGGAAATATAGTTCCCTGTATAATTAAGATGGGCTGGAGAGATTGTATAGTGGGTAAGGTACTTGCCTTGCAGTTGACCCGGGTTCTATCCTTCACACCCCATGTGGCCCTGTGAACCTTGCCAGGAGTAATTCCTGAGCACGACTGGTGTAGCCCCTCAAAAAAGTCAATGGGTTGGAGAGAGAAGGCATTTGTCTTGCATGAGGCTGACTAGAATTTGGTCCTGGACTCCATAATACGCTCCCTAGGATCACCAGGAATGATCCCTGGGCACAAAGCCAGAGCCAGGAGTAAGCCCTGAGAGCCAGCTGGATGTGGCCCAAGAAAAAAGAGTGCCAGGAAACAGGACAGGGAATGGACTCTGGTAGAGTGTTTGCCTGGCATGCCTGAGATGGATCCTCTGCACAGCAGCAAAATAAAAGGTAACACTGATTATTCTTATTGATGATGATGGGCTGGAGCGATAGCACAGAAGGTAGGGTGTGTGCCTTGCACGCAGCCAACATGGCCGACCCGAGTTTGATTCCTCCACCCCTCTCAGAGAGCCTGGCAAGCTACTGAGAGTATCTTGCCCACACGGCAAAGGCTGTCAAGCTACCCGTGACGTATTCGATATGCAAAACACAGTAACAAGTCTCACAATGTTACTGGACTCGCTCAAGCAAATCAATGAACAACGGGAGGACAGTGAATAACAGCCAATGTATGAGATAGGAACCATTGTTCATTTGCTTTGAATTTCTTTGATCACGGCATTTTAAATAGTGGTTCTTGGTTTTTAAGTACATTAGAATTGCTCGGGAAGCCTTAAGAAATGAATCAGTCCCCAAAAGTCTGATTCATTTGATACTGGCTTGGCATTGGGGCACTTTTACTTTTTTGGCTACACACTTGGCAATGCACAGGAGTACTCATGGCTCTATGCTCAGGAATTACTCCTGGTGGTGCTTAGGGGACCATGTGAGATGCTGGGGATTGAACCCAGTCTGCCGCGTGCTAGGCAAGCACCTTACATGTTGTACTATCTCTCTAGCCACAACAATTTTTTTTAAAGCTATCCATGTGATTTTAAAAGTATCCTCTGTGGTGAGATTATAGATCCACTCGAGATAAACATAAGTTAGTGTGGCTATTGCTACTGTTATTATCTCGCAGCTTCTATTATTAATGGGTCATAAAGTAATTCAGCTCCTTTTTATACACTCAAGCTATAGACTTTGTGTGAAACCTTTGGGTCTGATTGAAAGTGGCTGTTGTGCCTTGTGGTTATCCTTAGAACTTTTGGATCCTGGCTTCTGAAAGAGGCAGTAGTATCAACTACATCTGTGAAGGCTGAAAGCAGAGAGTAAAACAAGTTAATTATATTTTGTTGTTATTTTGTGTGTGTATGTAGTGACTGGAGTTGAACCCAGGGCTTCACATGAGAGATCTCTGCTCTACCATTGAGCTTCCCCCCTCACCCCCATCTGTTAATTATGATGATTGACTAACTCCTCAGATACCTAAAACTGTACTGAACCAGGTTGAGAATTTAGTCCAATTTATATACATGAGAAAACTGAGAATGACTCTTGTTCTGTAGGACTTGGTTTTAAGTGCTAAATGAGTAGCCCAGTGCACTGCTGAGAGTGATCCCTGAATACCGTCAAATGTGGCCCTCAAACAAAAAAGCTGTAGATGACTCTGCTCTGACTTTTTGTTTTTAGATAAGATCTGCTAAACATTGATAATATCTGATACATTTCTGAACCTAACTAGTAGTATTTAATTAGACATTTGAAAAGAATGACCACTAACGATGGAATGGGGACATTTTAATATGGGGATAACTTTTTTCCTTTCATTTGTATTATCTTCTTTTTTTAAATTAATTAATTTATTTAAAAAAAATTTTATTAGTGAAACACCATGAGGTACAGTTGTAGACTTAGAGGTTTTTGTATTTTGAGTTTCAGTTATACAATGATCAAGTACTATGGGGATAACTTTTATATGATTAGGACACATAATAGAACTAGTGGTGTGGATATTGACATTTTCTTCCTTAATGAGGTCAGATTGTTTTGCATGCCCAAAATGCAGAACATTGTATATTTAAAACCCAACGATGAGTAATTTTGTAAGTCATGGTGCTTTAATAAAATAAAATTTTAAAAAATTTTAAAAGAAAAAATATAAAAGAAAAAATTTTAATGCAGTATAAATCTAAACTAGTGTTTCTGGGCCAGGGACTTCATTATATTTTACAGATGAAGAATCATGTAAATGGTTGTGTGTGTGTGTGTGTGTGTGTGTGTGTGTGTGTGTCCGTATCCATGGCAAGAGAGTAAGGTGCTGCCGAGAGAAGTGAAAAGTAAAGAAGGCAGAGAACTGACTGAGAAAAGAAAACAATCGGAAAAAGATTGAGAAACAACTAATTGGAATCATCTCCCACACACTAAAGATTGTGATCAGTTTTGTCAGCTAGTATGCTCTTGGTGGAAGTCCAGTTGGAAATAGGTTAGACACCCACAGTTGGGTCTTATGGTCACTTGAAACATTTTTAATTCTATAATTAATCTTACAATATTTGAAACTTTCATTTGTTTTTCTTTTTTAAAATTTAGTTTAAGTTTTTGGGGGGCGGGGAGAGTCACACCTGATGATCTTCAGGGTAACTCCTGGTTCTGCTCTCAGGAATTACTCCTGGCAGTGCTCAGGATCTCATAACCAGTGTCTTTTTCCTTCCACTAGAGTCAGCCGTTCGCAAGGCAAATGCCCTGTCTGCTGTATTATTGGTCTGGCTTTCATTTGTTTTTCTTTAAAATTCATAAAATATATGCTCAAGCAGCAAATAGTCAACAGCTTTTGCTTACTAAATGTCTTGATCATCTTTATTTGAGAACAGTCTGTACTTACTGTTTGTGTGTGAGTGTGTGTATATTTATATATCCGGATG